TTTATTTAAAACATCAAAAAATAGCCCATTTTTAAAAAAGTTATATCCAATCCAGCCTGCCAGCATCACCACCTCCTGAAAGACAACAGCTTTCCTTCCCTCAATGTCACTCCCTTCCACTTATGAATTTGATCCATCTCAAGTTCTTTCTGCCTCTTTTATGAAGGAATTTTCCAATTTTGGTTGAAAAACTCTAGAAGAATGACTGTCTCACCCATTCCTATGCAATATAAACATGATAAATTCTAGATTAAACTAGTGCTATATTCTGTATCCTCCTGAAAACGATTCCTGATACTCTTCTATTGAGATCTGAAAGTGATGACGAGGTCATTAACAAAAACAACCCAAAAAAGAAGACTGATCACACATATTAATACAGTACCTGAAAAGAGCTGCATTCATTTTTTTTTCCTGCAATCCAGAGCACAATCAAAGTGGCATATTTTTCAATCCTAAAATGGCCTGTCTCTTAATTCCTGACTGTTGGAAGAAACCCTGTTTCCTCTATTCCAACAGTATTTGATCTATTTTGAGCTTCTTGCCACCACCTAAAGTCCATTGGGGGGTGCAGAAGACAAAAGCGTTGGAAATCTGTCTCCAAAGACTTGTCTTCTCACATCATCACCATATGTTTAGCACTTTTCCTATTTGTTGTGGGATTGATGATATTTATTTATTTGTTGCTTGAACAAACACCCACATACATGTATAAATGTTTTGGTCTGCAGGTTGAGTTTAGCTCTATTGCTATAAGATATGGAAGAGGGGGTGGGGTTTCTGCTGAAATCAACAATTTAAAAAGCAGATACATCTATGCTGAGATTTTTTTTAACTGAGCATTTAAAGAATAGGATTTGATTACTGAGATCTGCAACAAAAAGTTGCAGTGAGGAGTGCTGCTTTATAGTGTTCCATACACCTTTGGGACATTCCAGTCTATTCCTTCCCCCAGTTTTTTGTCCTCTTTCTTAACTGTCAGTCATCATTTAATGTACTCTGAGAATGGTTCATCCTCACTAGGTTTGTCAATGAGGAGGTTTCCCCTGACATTTTAAGGCTTTCTTCCTTAGAATGTCTGGATTTTGACAAAGCTTTGGATTGCCCCAAGTTTGCTGATACCTGCCTATTGTACATGGCTAATTTTACTTTCATGAATTAAAAATGCATGCCCAGATAGTGAGTTCAGGGTTAGTATGAACTGCTGGACAGCTCAGTGGCTTAGGTCTCCAGCTGTGGAGCTAGACGTTGGGAGTTCCAATTTCCCACTGCATCTCCTTAACAGGGGCTGGACTCGATGATCGAGCCCCTTCCAGCTCTGCATTTCTAAGGTTATTAGTTTTATTATTTAAGGTTGTTTAGTGGTTAGTGGAATGATCGTAAAAAAACGGGTTGAATGACTTTGTTTTAGTTGAGCATAGGTCTTTCAAAACAATTCCATTAGATGGTGCTCCAGCTGTACCTTCTGAAAATCTGGTGCCATCCTTGAGAATTTGTGGAAACTTACTAGGGATGGAATACTTATTAGATTTTAAACCAGATATTGGTAATGTAATTGAGATTCAAATGTCGCAGTGACATAGCATTCAAGTCTGAAGTGATCTAAAATGTGTTCATTAGCTACTAAAACAACTAAGAGCAATAATCCTTTTCAAAATAATCTCCTCTGCATTGTTGCCTGAAATTATATTGTTTCCTTTGGTCTTATGAACTAAAACATTATGAAAGAGAAAAGAAAAGAAGGGGAAAACACACAGGCATCTGGCACACATATTAACAGAAACAACAACTCAACTAGCTGACATTTTGTGTTTAAAGGGGTTGGGAGAATTATTTTGTAACAATATTTCATTAGATTTTCTTTCATAGATAGATATAGATATTGGTAATGTTATATCGAGAATAAGATATTACCAACACAGAATATGACAAGTAATGTCATTTGGAGCAAAATGCATGCCATGCTGTCAATTTCATAAAAAATGAAAGCGATTTATCATTTGGAATGGGGGTGAAAAGAAGGGGGAAGATATGTAGTACAGACAACATTACATTTCCTTTCTTCATTTCCTTTCTCTGAATCCCACTTTTGCTTCCAAATGCAATTCAAGATGTTGAATGTAATTTTAAAAAACACCAGAGTTTGTAAATCTGGCATTACAGAGATGACCTCTCTCCTCCTAAGTGCTAATTAGGAATAATGAGCATTCTTTCCAAATAGATACGAAATTACAGCTTTCAGTTACTATGATTGGCAAGATGGCCAAAAGAAAGATGTGGTGAAATTAGAGATTTGTTATCGTGGCTTCTGAAATGACAGAGAACTGGCTGGCACATGTTGAAATCTGACTTGGGGGAATAAGAGCTGGAGGATGTAAAGAGAGGGTATAAAACTGAGGCAGAGATAAGTGATAAAACCTCCAAGGCCAACAGGCAGCTTCCTTTCTGAACAGAAAAGTAGGGTGGAGCTAAGCCTGTGCTAAGCCTTGAAGCTTTCCCAGTCAGGCCTTTCTTCCAGGTGAGAGACATTTCATAGAATTGACGTGGAAGGAGCCTATATGGCCATTGAGTACAACCCCCTGCTCAATGATGTGGGTCTGTCAGCTGGAACATTCTGAATGGAGAATTATGGGTTTTTAGTTCAAAATATCCAACATTCTCATGCCTAATGCTTGCTGACTGTTTGGAGTTGCTGTATTATCTGCCACTGTATCCAACAATTCCTTACACAAGGTATTGGATGTTGGATCCTTCAAAACACTGCTTTCTAGCATAGCTGACTTGCCTCTTTTACTTCTATCCAAAATCCATTATAACACATTTTGTTGGAAGCTAAGAATTTGGAAAAGAAGACACAAAACTATTCAAAGTTTCATTAAAAATAAGCATATAAAAACTTACTGCTGAGTTTGCTGGAAATGTCTAGTGATTTTAAGGAGAATTTTGGCTCTCAACATTTAGTTTGTTTCGTTTTCAGCTAAAGTACACTGTGTGATATACATTGTGGATTATGAAAGGCTTTTCTTTAAAAAAATATGCTGCAGTTAAGAATGTGCAGAGGATTACTGAAAATGGAAACCAAGCCCTTGTCATGATCTGTGACCTTGAAGGCACTAATAAAACTGCCACTCTAAACTGAAGACAATCAGGCTAGTTCAGGAATTGATGGTCAACCTCGTCATCCTGGGAGATCACTCAGGGACCAAACTGTATTTTGTCACACCATCCAGAAGCCTTCAAAGGCAAGGAACAACATACAATAAAGTCTCTAATACTTTGCTATGGATTCAAAATTTGGAGCACACACATCTGCTACGAGGGGGCTTAAAGTATTCCCCTCCGACATTCTGGAATCAGTACAATACAGCCAAAATGTGTCATAGTATCTGTAATCTTTATAATGCATAAATTCACTTCAGTTTCATCTCATTAAATATTTTTGGTGCTCCATTTACTTGGTCACTTGGGTTAATAATGAAATCTCTGGTGATCCTGTTAGTAGTATGAACTCACGTATATGATTCTTTGATTGTGCTAGGTAATATTAAATGACACACTGAACAGAATGTGTGGCATTAATACAATCCCCTAACCATTGAGAAACTTGTCGATATGTAACACAAAAGACAATCCTCAAAAACATATGATATAGTATAAACAGTAGAATATTCCTTTATGCCTCAAAATTATGCAAGAGACCATTCAAAATGCAGTTATTCTGGAAGAAAAATAGCATATCTAGACAGGAGGGCCTGGCGTGCTCTGCTCCATGGGGTCACGAAGAGTTGGACATGACTAAACAACTAAACAACAACAATATAGCAATTACAAAAATACTTGTTGTAATAATAGTTTCCTGCATAACATAGCTAATAATAATAATAATAATAATAATAATAATAAACAGTAACAGTAACAACAACAACAACAACAATAATAATTCTTATTGCAATATTTTATTTCAAAGCTAATATTTTCAGTTAAAGGCTTTTCACAACTACATTTATTTTGATGATTCAGATAAATGACAGAGGTGACAATTAAAAAAAAATCTTTCCAGGAATGTAAGTTGAAACCTGGAGGGCAATCAAATTGTAGAAAGGCAAAAGTCAACTTCATATAGCAACATGAACAAACAGATTGGATAGTACATTTTGTGTTCTCCCTTCCCCTTTTTTTCACCCCATATCCCCCGCTACCTTTTGTACTCCTTACCTTATCTCTAATTTTTAAAAATAAAAATAAAAAAGTGTACCAGAAATATGCAGTCAATATTATTAAAAAAATAAATAATACAGGAGTGTCTGATTTAGTCTCTTGCAGTAAAAACATTGTGCTATCCTTCAGGATTAACAAGTTTTATTTGGTATATATTTTAAGACTGCATCTGATGAAGGAAGCTCATCGTCCACGAAAGCTTATGCCAAATTAAACTCATTTGTCTTTAGAGGTGCCATTAGACTCTTTTTTATTGTTCAAATGGTCAGCACTGTGCAGTGGATTCGATGGGCCTACCCTAGTTGCAACTCATTACTGGAATTCATACAATTCATACAATGAGTCATTCCAGTGAAACAACATTTCCCCCTTTTTCCTTCTCGCTCTCAATTTTCAGTGTGTCACAAAACCATGTTCAGTCAAATATTATGGGGGAGACCAACACTGCACTAGTAGAAGGCAAGTTCCTACAAGGCAATATGTTCAAAGAACCTTGTACTGCTCATGCAAGGTTCCCAATTTCAGCAGTCCTCCTCCCTATTGCAGAAAGTCGTGCCAACTTTTTCAGAGGTTTGGGAATTACAAATGGAAGATCTACCACACAAGTACAGGTATATCACCAATGTAATGCTGGACATAAACTGTTCTGTTCACATTTGCTCCATGAGATGCCAACAAAGATGATCATAAAATCTGCAGAATGGGTCACAAAAGAATTACAAGCCACTGTCTGTAAAATAAAATTTATAAATGTTTGGTCCTGTTATTAAAAATCTACTTACTTTCCCATAGCTCAGCATGATGATTCTCACCAAAACAACATTAATGTGGGCACCTAAGGATTCATCATGGTAGATTTCATTAACCTGCAAGAGAACATTGAAGATATTAACAACAATCTCACATAGACAGCATGAGAATAGTTCTTTTCAAGGTTGATGTGGAAAAGAACACTTAATATAAAACCCTCTGAAACGTAAGTACACTCATATAACAACAGTGTTAGGACACTGTCACAGTCAGGTTTGATAGGAAAAATCCAGGGATATGAAGGCCCTCTCCTTTGTTCTCACCAAACAAAGCTGTGAAGATGGTGGGACTGAGAGAAAGGGCTCCCCTGATGAGCTTAACACCCAGCCAGGCTCATAAAGGGAGACACAATCCTTGAGATACCTTGGATCCAAGCCATTTAGGACTTCACAGGTTAAAACCAGTACTCTGAATTATGCCCGGAAGTGGATTGGCAGCTAGTGGAGCTCCTTAACACGGGTGTTATGTGATGCCTGTAACCAGCCCATTAGTAATCTGGCTACCACATTTTGGACCTGCTGAAGTTTCCAAACACTTTCCAGAGACAGCCCCACATAGAGTGTGTTAAAGTAATCCAGCTGAGATGTAACCAAGGCATGTAGCACCGTGGCCAGATTGGACCTCTCCTGGAATCGGAGCAGCTGGTGAACTGTATTTAATTGTGCAAATGCACTCCTGACTACTGCTTAAACTCCAGTCTCAGAGATAAATCCAGGAATACACACAAGCGGTGCGACTATGTTTCAGTGTAAGCCCATCTAGCACAGGCTGCTTCTCTGTTCCTTAATCTGCCTTTCAACTGAACAGGAGCATCTCTGTCTTGCCTGGATTAAGTTTCAATTTATTTTCCCTTATCAAGTCACCAGACACTCGAGTCGAAAGAGTTTCCTAGCATTTAGATGGCAAGGAGAGATAGACTTGGGTGTCTTCTGCATATGGTGGCACCGAACCCCAGGACTGCAAATAAACTCTTTCAAAGGTTTCCTGTACATGTTAAAGACAAGAACCATGACGGACCTCTCAGGCCAGTAGCCAAGATGTTGAACAGGAGACCCACAGCACCACCTTCTGAGTTGTCTTCTTCAGGAAGATCCAGAGGCACCATAAAACAGTGCTTCCGAAACCCATCCCAGTGAGAATGGCCCAGAAGGATAACACGGTCAATGGTATCAAAAGCCAGTGAGAGGTCTAGCAGAACCAACAGGAGTATACGCGTCCTGTCCAATTCTTGGCGTGGATCACCCACCAAGGTGACCAAAGCAATCTCTCCCATAACCAGGTCTGAAGCCAGACTGAAATGGATCAAGATAATGCATCTCATCCAGGATAGGAGAACCTTGGGGTGGGGTGGTGGTGCATGAAGAAGCAGTGGCAACTCAGAGCACAACAGCTAGAATCTAAATAGATGTACAGTAGTTTAATACATTTGCAATTGTGAAGTTTTATTAAAATGAACAAATAATACTGTTACTATTGTAACAATGCCCCATGCTTGCTAGTTGTCCCAATGGCTTTGCATTCTGGAAGGAAGAATAAAGTGTGCAGCTCAACAATAGGATAACAAGGCATGCAATTGCCTGACTACACATGGGCTAAAATGGTGTATGGGGCAGGAATCCACACACAAGCCATGTCACCAACATTAGCAATCCACAGTCTGCACTAGACCAACTGTGTCCACCTACCATCAATTATGATGAGAGGAAATAAACAGAAATCCATATCAGATCAGTCATCTCCTGGGTCAACAAGGACTGTGTCAGATACTATAGCCCCTGGACATCTGGTGACAAATGGGCTGCACGGCTCAGCAGACCCTGTTGAGGAACCAGGATAGGCTGCTTCAAAGCTACTGGAACAACGTAAACGCAAAAATTGGACTCTCACCGAAAATCGAGTAATTATGAAATGCTATTATGAAGCAAACCCAACTGTGTTTTTTTTTTAAAAAAAAGAATGATGGAAATTTGGAAAAGGAAACACCTGAATAGTGACATAACTGAACAATAACCAAGGGACCAAATAAGGGTTATCATCAGGAGTAAAGTGTTTTTAGAACTGGAACTGAAAGAACTAGAAAAGGTTGCAAAAGAAATTTCAACACAAAACAATAACCATAATATGGAAGACAAATGAAGGATAGAGGTAGATGCAATAGTGGAAGAAAATGTATCAACAGAGGAACAACTTATAGAACAACCCAGAATTTATGAGTTAACAGAATGGCAGACATCACTGAGGGGAAAAAAATAGTAATCCATATTAGCAAAAACACAGAAAGATAAAGCTCCCCATTATGCACTAATTACAAAGTAAACCAGGAAAAGATGTACTGCAAGACACAAATGTAGTAATCAGAACAACCCCAACTAACATGCTAAAGAAAATAAACCAGTTCATTTATAGCACAGCTGCCATAATAACCATGGAACTTGGTTACAAGCTTCAAAAATATATATATAAATAATAAAAATAACTAAAAAAAGGAAACTCCTGGCACTCCAAAATGGAAAATTCTGCTGAAAAAAAATTAAACAAAGTACGTGCAAATATTAGCAACTTAAAACTTGAAAGATTCAAAACTTAAAAATGAAAAAGTAAGACTATGCAAAATATATGACCTAGAAAGGTAAATAATTGTTTGAAATTATGGAAGAGTTAAAACAGTGAGTAATAGCTACAGCAAACAAAATTGAAAGATATGATGGATGCTTGAAACACTATATAGAAAACACACAATTTCAAAATAACCAACAATTATTCTGTAAATCACTAGGAGAAAATGAGAGCAAAAAATTTAGGTCCATGTAAAGATGATGCTCTAAAATTTTGGAAAGAAATTTGGGAAGCCCAACAGGACATAACAAAAACTTCATGAATTAAAGACATTTGTAAAGAAACTCAAGGAAACAAATGGATGATATTATAATAACAACTGAAATGATTAAAAAGAAAGTAAAGACTGTGAAAAACTGGAGTGCACCTAGTCCAGATGAGCTGCATGGATTTTGGCTAAAGCAGGGGTCTCCAAACTACAGCCCAGGGGCCACATCTGTCCCGCCTTGCCTCTTTATCTGTACCAGGAATAGGAAGAGGAGAGAAGGGGAACCCAAGCGACCCCCCCACCGCCGCTCTCTTTGCAAAGCATCAATGTACAGTAGTGCTATTTAACCACTTCAAAATTCTACAACTGAAGATTAGATGACAACAGGCCACACATTTTTGATAAAAGAAGATCACCAAAAGGCTATGAACACAGTAATTATCAGCCAATTAATTAGATACCCAGCTGAAATAATAGATCGGACCCAAAATATATTAGAAGAACTGGATAAAAAAATTGAAACTAATGAACATTCATCCCACACTACATCTAAAAAGTGATGTGGACAGATTATATTTACCATGAAAAATTGGAGGCTGTGGATTACTGCAAATACAGCAGGCAGTAGAAGAGGAAAAAAAGAAGCCTAAATGATTTTATCACTACAAGTAGGGAAAAGTACTGAAAGCAGTGAAAATGGAGAATATTTTGAAAACAACAGAAACAAAGGCTCAATATATTAAAACATTGAAAATAAATTAAAGAGCTGGTAAAATAAAACACTGCATGGACAACACCTGAGAAATATTGATGAAAGGCATGATCATAATTCAACATGGGCATAGCTAAAACTGGGGACCATTAAGAAAGAAACTGAAGGCTGATTTTTTGCTGCTCAAGAACAAGCACTCCAAACCAACATGACGAAAGCTAAGATCCAAGAAATTACTGTAGTGCTAACAGCAAATGTGGCCTCTGCCAAGAAAAGGATGAAACTGTGTCGCACCTCATCTGCCAGTGTCCAAAGATTGCAGAAACAGATTACAAAATTAGACATGACAGAGTGGCAAAATTAGTGCACTGGTCATTATGCAAAAAATATAACTTGCCAGCCTCCAAAAACCCATGGGAACATCAGGTGGAGAAGGTGTCAGAAAATGAGGAAGTCAAGATCTTGTGGGATTTCCAGATCCAAATGGGTAGAGACCTTGAACATAACACACCAGACATAGGAATAATAGATTGAAGAAATGTCTGGAGCATTAACATTGCAGTTCTAGGAGATGCCAGAGTTGAAAATAAAGAATTGCAAAAATTAACCAACTACAGAAACCTGGCAATCGAAACATCTCGTTTGTGGATGAAACACACTTCTGTGGTCCCTGTAATCATTGGAGTGTTGGGAACAATATCAAGAGATTTCACACGGTATTATAAGTAGTTGCAGATCTCAGAAATAACACCATCAGAGCTACAAAACAAGCAGCAAACAAACAAACAAAAAGCAATATTAGCAGCAGCATACATACTGCTCCAATATTTAATAGATACTTAGGTTTTTGTTTAAAACAGGCACCTGTTATATGTACCAGTATACACGTACTAGTCAATGTTTTTATAATTTTGATTGACTGTGCCTAGTGTTTTTCATCATCATCATCATCCTAGAACTTAGGATGTTTATAACACAGTGTGCAACTCTTTAGCGTATGGCTGCCAACATGTGTTCCTGTATGTAGAATGACCATTGAAGCTTACTACAAGTATTTCTAAAAAAGAAAATTCAAAAGAAGAACCTAGAATATCCCTAAGGAAAGCCAAACTTATATAGTGAGGCTACAGCCTCCAAAGCACAATCTGCTTGCTTGCTTGCTTGCTTGCTTGCTTGCTT